AAAGAGGGCTGACTCAAACTGCCTTCCTTGGTCTGTGGTGATCTGCTTCGGGACGCCGAAGCGAGCAACCCATCTGGAGTAGAATGCTCTCGCTATTGTTTCCGCTGAGATGTCTGGTGTAGGAAATGCCTCTGGCCAACATGTAAAGCGATCTACACAGGTCAGACAGTAAAGAAATCCATGAGATGGAGGTAGAGGTCCAATAATGTCGATGTGAACATGCGAAAAACGTTTGTCTGGCACGTATAGATTAGCGAGAGGAGCGGAAGTGTGACGGGTGTCTTTGCATCGTTGGCATTGCAGGCAGGAGCGAGTCCAACCAGTGGCATCGGCTTTCATGGATGGCCAAATAAATCTTTGCTGCAAGAGCTTAATCGTACCTCTGATGCCAGGGTGTGACAGATTGTGCAGCATGTTAAATATCTCTGCGTAATGATGACGGTATATAAAGTCGTATGGTCCCCGATGAGACGTCACAGTAGAGTTGACAAGTAGAGTCGTCGACTGGGAGTGGTTTGAAGGACAGTCTGCTAGGAGAGATGGGCCTCACTCGAAGGTATAGCCCATGAAAAGAAACGGAAATGAGAAGAAAAGTTTGTGAGAAATTAGGGCGAAGGGGAAATTTAGATAGATAGAAAAGGTAAGACAGGAGCAGCTCCCTTGCGGGGACCATAAATATGTATTTCTTTTATTTTCAATACAAATTTCATTTATACAACTATATTCAAAATTTACATTGTAGACGTTACATAAAAATCTGATGATTTTGACAATTTTAGGTAAAGAAATATTTTACAGTGAGAAAACCGTAAGAAGTTAACAAATGCGTACATTGTATACAAAGCAAAATAATTCGTTGAAAAAAAAAAAAAAAAAATTTAATACTGTCTTAATATTAATATTTACAGTTACAGTGCATTGCAGTTTACAACTAAATATTTTTGACAAGTATATGTATTTTTGTTATATTGCTAATTAATTTTGAAATAGGAAACAAAATAGAATTATTATATTATTAACAGGTAGCAGTGTTAACAGAGTTTAACAATTTAATTTTACCCGACATTTGAAATAGTTATTCAATACTGCATGTAAGAAGCTTATGATAATATTATTTGTAATAACAATATATAAAAGAGATATGCATAAAATATAATAGTACATTATAATTGACACCCGACATTAGTAAAATTAAAATGATTCTAATCTAGGATTTTTATATCCTGTACGAATTTTTTTAATGCTTTGTGTATCTTCTTGTTTTCTGTAAGGATTTTTAGTTCACATGGCCAAAGTTCATTTTCCGACAGGATGACTGAAATAAGATCGTTTCGCTGTCTTGAGTAGTTGGAACAAAAGTATATGATATGCTCTGGGTCTTCTGTTGCATTTTTAGAGCAAGGGCAAAGTCCGTCAGTTTTATTTAAGAACCTTTTAAGGTAACTACGAAAATTGCCATGACCCGTGTACAGCTGGGTCATATTAAAGGAAACGTTTAAGTGTGATAGGTTTTGGCGGTGCTGCACATTAGGCAAAAACTTAAAAGTGAGCCTGCCATTCGGGCAAGTTTCCCACCTGGTCTGCCAACTCTTAAGGGTGTGCGCTCTCATTTGATTAGTCAGCCAAACTAGTGGAACTGAGCTGAAAGAGTAGTTCGGACATCTTACCGGGGCGGTGCGTGCTAACAAATCAGCTCTCTCGTTACCTTTGTTGCCTGAGTGCCCTTTCACCCATGCTAAAGTTATGTTGTACTTTTGTTGTAGCTGATTGACAAGGTCTATGCTTTTGTAGATCGTCGGGTAGTTTCCGTTGAGTTTTATTAGTTGCTGCAGAGCTGTTTTGCTATCAGTAAAGATGGTTATTGCATTTGTTTTGTATTTCCACGCGTTTTGCTGAATCCACTTAAGTGCTTTTAGTATTGCCCAAGATTCTGATTGATTTACCGTGCAATGTGTCTTCAGTTTGTATTGGGCTTGATATAGGTGCGTTCCATTAAAATCCACAGTTATGGAAGAACCTACGCCGTTTTCGGACTTGGAACCATCTGTGTAAATACATATACCATGAGGGGTATCTATCTCTTGTAGATTAATATGGTTCTCAATAGAGAACTTGGGGTGAAATGCGTGCGGTTGGGAGGTATAGTCCAAGTTATGCTTTTGAATGTAGTCTGCTATGTCAGAGGCTGTGTTGCTGATGCTAAGTCCTTTTATGTTGTTATTAAACTCTTCTCTGTTTATTTTCTTTGTGGCGAGTTTTGTTTGGTTGTATTTCCAGTACTTCTCCTTTACTAGCAGGTCTATAGGAATGAGGTTAGTTATTGCTAAAAGAGCCTCTGTGGGAGCCGTTTTATAAGATTTCGCTATTGATATTGCTGCAAGCCTTTGGGCTGAGAGAATCTTTCTTTTTATATATAATTTTTCAACAGAGGTACCCCATATTTCAGCTCCATATAGAAGTATTGGTTTTATGACCGCTAAGTACAACAGTCTCGAGGATTCACTATTGTAGCCCCAGCGGTTCCTAGCTATGGTTGCAAGAGAGTGCATGGTAGTGACTACTTTGTTGTAGGTTTCATGTATATGGTCCCTCCAGGTAAGTCTGTTATCCAAATAAACTCCTAGATACTTTACTGTTTTACTAATATGTATTTTTATTCCATCCATTCTAATAGTTGGTTTTTTCTTTAGAGGGGTCTTTCTTGGAAATACTATACATGTACATTTGTTGTAATTTATTTTGAGTTTCCTTTCTTTACTCCACTCAGAGATTTTCTGAAGTGTTTTGTTAACTCTGGCTTGAAGGACAGCTTTGTGGAGTTTGGCTTGTGCAGAAGTACTTTAAGGTCACTGTCGGTTCGTTGCTGGATGGCGAGTTCTTTCCAATCTATCTGAGATGGCATGTCTATCGTAGATATACAGGATAGTGAATCAGCAACTGTATGGTGAGAACCTTCTACGTGTCGTATATCTGTTGTAAACTGTGATAAGAAGTCTAAGTGGTGGAGTTGTCTTGGAGAAGCTTTGTCGGGGTCCTGACAAAATGCAAAGGTTAGCAGCTTATGATCTGTAAAAAGGATGAAGTCTCGACTTTCTAGCATGTGTCGGAAATGTTTTACAGCTGCGTAAGTGCTCAATAACTCACGGTTGTATGTGCTGTAATTGCGCTGTGTTGTCGACAGCTTCTTAGAGAAAAAAGCGAGAGGTTTCCATGACCCTTGGTACTTTGCTATAGGCACCGTCCTGCAGCAGGTGTCTGAGGCGTCGATCATAAGTGCAAGTGGCTTCGTGGGTGATGGGAAATTTAATGAAGCAGCGTCTGCAAGCGCTTCTTTACATTGAGAGAATGCACATCGCGCTTCCGGAGTCCATATTATTTGTGTGTTGTCGTTTTTCTTGCTTCCTGACAAGAAGGAGTTGAGCGGTGTTTGTGTGTAGGTGGCTTTGGGCAGAAAACGTCTGTAGAAGTTTAACATTGCCATTAATTAAATGACAGGGTGAAGACATAAAAGGGGTCATGTGTCATATCTCTTAATGAATATTTTACTTGTTATGAGCGTTCAAAATTAAAAAAAGAAATAAAACTCATCTCTACCCTCAAAGTAAGCTTTTTTGTCATTTTATGATAGTACAGTAAAACCCGTTAAGATGTTCTCGCCTAAAATGTTAGAATGTATATGGGGACACGATTTAGTTCAACCACTTTGACGCTTAATAACTAACTCCTGTGTCCTCATTTGACTCCGATTCTGATCACTCTGACCACACATTATTAGGCTTCAAACAGGGTAAACAAAATTATGCCCCTCACAGACAGTCTAACATTCACACATATACAAAAAAAAACTCAAATCTTTTGCATATCTCGACATTTTAAGGTGTCCTGAGTCCATAAATGTAAACATTTGGAAAGGGTCATTTTTTGACCGAGCGCTACACTTTTCTTCTGTATAACAGCTGGAAAAGTAAAAATTATCGATTACATATTTATATATTACTTAGAGGAGTCTTTTAGCGTTGGAATAAAAAGTTTCTACGTTCTATCTTTATCAGAACTCTATTTATTGAATCTTTTATTTTGAGGTCACGTGATGATATTAGAATTTCCGGGTCTTTTCTGTAACAAGTCCTTCCTTGGTCGGAGTTGGAGTCGTTAGATTTTTACGCGACTCTACAGCCCTGGAAAAATCCCTTCTTAGCATGCGTTTACATGAGGTACCCTAACTCTATACCAAATTCCACCTATTTAGGTCAGCAATTTCTTCTGGGCATTGATGAATCAGTGAGTCAGTCAGGACAAGTAATTTTATATATTTAGATAACGATAGAGTATTATATTCAATATTGATACTGTTATCTGAATAGTCAGTATTCCGATTGATTTAGATCCATTATGCTATATATTTGGTTGTTTATAATAACCTTTCATATAAAGATATTCACAAAATTATTAACTATAGTTTATAACTGTATAATTTTTAATTACACAATTCAACTATGAATATTTTGTACTTGTTACTGTTATTTCTACACCAACAAAATAAGCAGATAATAGGTTTATTAATATTTAGTACAGAAAAATTATTGGCATTAAAATTATTGATTACAAGCGATTTTATATGGAAAAGTAAAAAATAAAAGAAAACAATTCAAGTTTTGACGCAATTCGTCAATCTTCGTTTGTACAATTGAAGTGTAACTTTTTTATAATAATTCTATAGCGATAGTCGGCATTGGCCATCATTAAATAAAGATTTTGTTCTTTAACATTATAGTAGGGTCTTTCAAAGAAGTTATATAATGTAACCCCGCGTCCATAATAGTATTTAAAGCTTATGTCGTTTAAAGCCGATTTAATATAAACATCCCCATTGCGTAACTGATCGACGCAATACAGCTTATCATATGCAACGAACGTATTCCATATATAACAATTTTTCAAAAGAAAATTTTGTTTTGACAAAACTTTTAAAGTATCGTAATCCATATTATACGCCACGAAGTAATTGTCGTAAAGCGGACCCGAACCTTTTGTCTGATTTAGAGAGTCAAATATCCAGAAATAGTCGACATCTTGAAGTAAAAATATGCCCCATTTTTGCTGAACAAAATGGACTTTTTCTCCAAAAGTCACGTTTCCTGTTTCAATGTTATACTTGACAATTCTCGGTCCTGACTCGTCCTTATATGGAGTATAAAAATATCCATCGCGTTCGAAAAATCCATCAAGATACATTTTATCAGGTCGTTGGAACTCTTTCAGTATTTTCACTTCTTCTTTTCGATTAGTTTGGACTATTTTCATAGGATTTTCATACCATTCTTGCGTAATAATCCTAAAATTGTTTTCCGGACCCTCTTCAATTTTTGGGAATAATAACCTCTTATTTTTTTCCATATCATGCGCGTTCTTAAATTCCTCATAATGAAATATCTTATAATCTGAAATATTTCGGAGAATGCATTCTAAAAAGAAAAAACGTTGATTTAATATTTACATATATTTATATTTAATTAAAAATTATTAAAATGTAAATGTTTCCGATCAGCATTTAATACTCTACAGTTCATTTTCAGTTAAAATACAAAATAATTTAAACGTTTGTGTTTTGTAAGAGAAATTGTTTAATTATTTGTATAATTTTCCACGATTAAGAATAAAAGTTTTACTCTTTTCTCTCGTACATTTTTTTCTATTGAAACGCGTACCTGTTCTACCATCAAAACACAGCTTTCGCCTTTTATACATATTAATAATTTTAGGTAAAGTTTAGGTAAATAAATTGTACAACGTTAATTTTAAGTATGAGTCACAGAATTATTTTACCTTTAACTTCTTGCTATTCGCCTCCAAAATTGTCTTTCTGTTCGTCTGTTTAAATTAATGTTAATATATTAGTATAATTCCACAGACAATTCTATATATAAGTCATATACATAATAAAAGAAATACCTTCTGATTTTTCTCTGTTTTTTCGACAAAAGTCATCGGCATTAAAACAATATTCCAACAAATCAGATTTCTACATAAACAACAAACAAAACAAAATTTTAACGAATAAAAAATAAGATATTGTTCTTAATGCAGTTTCAATTTGTTATTTTTATAAATTATTTTAAGTAATTAATTGCTAATTATTTCAGATTATACGTTTCTTATTCAGCTCTTACTTTGATATTCCACTTTCCCTTCATTACTATTGTATCGTTATTTTCTTCAGATGAGTTTTCTGTCAGAGGACAATCTTCGCATTCTTTTTCGGTTTCGGACGAAATTTCCCTTTTCTTCACTCGGTGAGAAGCAGTGTTCGGATTCATGTTGGCATTGACATCTGTTGTTTTCTCAGACTTCATATTGCAGTCAGATTGTTTATAATACATACTTATAAACAGTTGTGCGAAGAAGAGCAAGAATAACAGCAATATCAAAAGTAAATTATTCTTATTTGAATTTTCTATTCGTTTTCTTTAATATTCTTCATAATGCTATTGTTATTAAATATAAAAATTTAATTATTAAATAACTTTCTGCAAAATTGAAATATTATGAGCTTTATAATAGAAAAAAAATGTATATAATTGAAATATATTGGTGCGTCATTGTTTGAGTTTTCAAATTTAATTTATTTCAGCANTAATAGAAAAAAAAATGTATATAATTGAAATATATTGGTGCGTCATTGTTTGAGTTTTCAAATTTAATTCATTTCAGCAGGTCTTTTGATGTTTGAAGCGATTTTCCTGTTATAAATATCGGGAAGTCAATTAATCTATTTCCTTACACTAAACGATACGTGTCGAGCCCCAACCCTCACTACTTGCCATCCTTTTGTAAGTATGTTCGAATCCACAATGGGCTTATTAAAAAAGGCCCTCTTAATGCGTACAAAAAAAGGTAAAAGTTAAAAATACACCCTAAACGATACCATTTCCGATATACTTAGAACAGCGAATACACGCAATTAAATGCTCTAATAATAATTTAAAAAACGAAAGCAATAAATAAAATACATGGATATGGTATAATAAAATGGGAATTGCCCGAATAAGCGATGGTTATATTGTGTTCAATTAAACTGTTTTCCGTGTTATTAACAGCTATCGTTACTTAACATAGATGGATGATTTAATTATTGCATTCAACTATAAACGACACAATGACACCCTTATTGCAACTTTAAGATTGTCTTCTTTGATCAAAAAAGCATTTTAACCTTTAATGTTATTATTTTGTTAGAACTCGACGAATAACACATAATATAACAGATATAAACGAACACACCGAAAATAAAGCATACCGAAAATAAAACAATACAATACGTACGAACGTAAACTGCAAGCGAGGCACGATTAGAGAGGTTTACGTGTAAGGGAAGGGGGTCGACGCTATTAAGTTTAAATGGCTAAAGGTCGAGATGGTGGGGAGATAGAGTGTCGTGTCATATCTCGAGCAGGGTCAGATTAATTGTGATTTCCCCCTTTATTAGTATTTAAAATTTTTTTTATTAAAGCCATTTTTATTCTCAAAATTAAGTTATTTTGCCATTTTCTGATTAAAAATATGACAGTTTAATTTATTCAAATATCGTAACAATTGGCGCCAGCAAATCTCGCCGGGAAAATTAAGCCAATAGTTGTTCGACTTTTAATAACGATTTTAATTGTTTACAATAAAATAAATGATAAATTTAAAATACATCTCGAGATGTTCACACGAAGACATTATTTGAATGAACGTGATTATATGAATTATTTTACTAATTAAAGTAAATGTTAGTGATTTATCACATTATTAAAGAAATAATGACGAAAACTATCGACTCTCCTTGTTTGTTACAACGATGCGAACAACACCGAAATTAATGTATTGATGTTAAAATTCTATATCTGCTTTAATTTCTGTGCTTTAAAAATGGAAATATTAAACACAGGCGCAAATTTTGGTTAGAACATTTAACCTAGAACTGATTTTAAATTTAAAATGTTAATTGTTTTAGGACAAGAAAGTTGCACGAACTTGGAAAATATTCTTTTTCATAAAATTCGAGTAAATTCCTATATATAAAACAAATATTACTTACGGAGTAATTTCTTGTTTGGACTTCCACACTTTACGCTTCTACTTCGAATTTTAATTGACTTAAACACGAATTTCCGTTCGTTTAATATTTTTGATAAAGACTTCGTGTGACGTTATTTATTTAATTACAGCTTGTTGATACTATAAATTAGCTGATAATAGTTATTAAAATAATGGTTAAAATATCAGAAACAGATTTATTTAATTAATTAATTTTCTTTGTCGATTTAAAATGTAAAGTAAGGCAGAAAATAACAAGAGAGTAAAAATACAACAAAGTTATGTGTTGATAAAGTTTTGAAAATTTTATTATACACATTCAAATCTTTAATGTGAGAAATAAACAAATCATTTATAAATCAAGTGATCTATTGCAAAATTAACCATAAAGGAGCTAATGTTTATTCAAGAAAAACATTTTCCAATTGGGAAATATTGTAATAAACTCATACAATAGGATGAAATCATTAGTTTTAAATAAAACTGTCTCGGCAACGAAGAAGGTGTGTTATAATTTGCTAATGTTTATTTTGACAACGGCACAATGCCAGGATGCAAGTTTTAATCATATATTTAATTTAAAACATATGCTTTTCACTTCAAATTAGTAGTTTTTTTTGTTCCTGTATATCATTTTTCCCTCGTAGCAATAGTCTTTCAAATCATGTATCCAGCACCTTTCAGGGAATAATGTTCGATTTGCAATAAAGTTACCCCCATTTTGTATCAGTAGACCTTATATATTTAATCCAAATCGTTCCGTATCCTCCTAAAATTACATCTACCTGACAGCTTTCTCGATAATCAGAAAGGACAGAGAAACACACAGACAGATAGGCAATAAACATGTTTTATGTAAATGATAAAATTAAATTAAAAATCAAACCAAAATAATAAAATTTTGGAATATTTGTTCAAATTATTATAAAGTAAATAAAATATAAAACAAAAATCATTTGTATAAATTATAATATAGAAAAGATTTTCGTTATAACTGTTCATTATTTTTAAGACTGTGTTTTTTAATTATATTTAATTTACTGAATAAATTATTTTATTATAGTCCGAAATAGTAATTTTTCTTCATATAAATCTGCTTAATTTTCACAAAATTAAGCAATTAGTTACGGAAACACGTGTTATCACGAATACAAGTTGTTAACAATTATCCGGACAGAAACGTATTTACAGTTAATTACCTTATCCGGCTGCAGTCGAGGATGTAAATAAAGTAGAAGAAAAAAATAATCATTCTTACAAGTAATTTCTTAATAATTAAATATTTTAAATTTATATGGCAAATTATTATATTTTCTAAATTTATAAAATAAATGTATTTTACAGTTTATTCGTGTTATCTGTTTTTTTTTTTTTTTTGAAATAACATTTTTTTTCGTTGTGTTTTACGTTCGTTTTTATAAAATAAAAGAAATCGAAGTCAAGTAAATTGATTTTTTGTTTTAATTTATCTTCCTTTTTATTATCAGAACAACATATTTAAGTTAGTGTTTTAAGACCAGATTCGTAAAAATTAGCTTATTATAATTGATCGCTTATCAAATCGACTGATGAGTAAATCTCAATTAAACTACCATACTACAAAGAGTGTCTACCTACTGTTTGGGCCGTAAGATACTTTAAATCCTATTAGTACAAACAAAAATTTATTATAATTATCGATCAGCCACCTCTTGGATGGTTAATTGATAACACAGACGACTCAACAAACTCTAGACTGTCGAGGTGGATCGTCTGACAGTCTTAAGTCGCTGACGCTTTAACTCGAATTGCTCATCAGACGAATTTGAGAAGTTGGGCCTATCTTTTCCACACCACAAATAGGAAATCTACAACAACGGAAACCAATTATCAAAGTTTTGAAAGAGAGAACAACCACAGGAAAATAAATAGTTTAAAATTGTACGAATTTTATTTCCATGAGAAAGAAAAACATAGGCAAAACTACAACTATTTGCTTCTCTTAAACACCTGTTCGAATGACAGCGATAGACACTGGCGAACCTTTACTTCTCACCACAAACGGAAACAAATACATCATTCTGTTTATAGACCACTTCAGCCGATATGAGGCAGCAGTTCCTTTACCCGATGTTAGTAGTAGTGATGTAACGAATATTCAGTTACTATTCGACCTATTTTTCGCTATTCTACCGAATACCTAAACACAGGAGTAAGAAACAACAAAAACACAGTAAATTAATCATTTTGATATTTAGATTTAATGTTACTCAGTTAGTGTTGTTTGTTTATATTTATTTATAACTTATAACATGCACAAAATAAAAAATAAAATAATATTTGTCACATGTATTCACAATTTACAATTACAAATATCATCACACATACAGTACACACCTATTCGTTCAAGAATCGTCGCACATCCGAGGGTCTGACCCTGCCTATCGTTTTTTAAGCACTCGTCTTTGCTCTTCCCTTTCTCTTTCCTCTATCGCTCTAGTCCACGTATATAACGGGCGGATGGCCGAGTGGGCAAGGTGGCAGCCTACTGTTTTGGGGGACCCGGGTTTGAATCCGAACGGGTCGAAAAATCCCCAGGAATTTTTCGGGGGGTGGTCCGTCCGGGTATGTCGGGCCCCGTCCCTTACCACCCGGCAGCCCCATTGTTGGCCTGGCCGAACCCATAATGGGCTTGCAAAAAGAGGCCCTCTTAGTGCCCACAGGGCGGAAAGAGTTATAAAAAAAAGAAATATTACGTAATTCAACGCAAACTCAACGGTTACCTAATACACTTCCACCTTACACCCCATGTGAATTATATTAAGGATAAGGCTCAGTTTTGTAGTTTACAGAGCTTGGCAAGCTGGGGTTGGGGCTGCGGCTTCCTGCACTCCGAGTCTCTGTATATTCCTATAGTAGTATATGTTGCTGGAGTGTGGGACGACAGACTTCAGCCCCTTCACCGTGGGAAACTTGAATCTTCCCAATGGAAAGTGCTGCTGATGGTCACCAGGGCCTATCGTACGATTTCAACTCCTGCTTTGCAATTGATTGCAGGTGANTTCATTGGTACGGCTTCAGCAAAACGTGTGTAGACATCAACCATTGAAAAAATATACCGATTTTCGCTCTGTGATCTCTGGAGGGGGCCAATGATATCTATCGCTATTTTCTGGAATGGAAAACTAGCAACTTCAGTCTCCTGAAATGGGGCACGGCCACGATGGAGGTTGCATTTCTGGCAGACCTTACAATTACGGATGATGCGTTTTACGTGCGCACGGAGGTTTTTAACAAAGTAGTATCGATCTATCAGGTTGCAAGTTTTTTTTAAACCAATGTGACCCGACAAGGGGGAACAATGAAATGCCCATATTAACTCCTTGACTACGCTCTCTCCCACGCAAACCTGTTTCCATTGACGGAGACCGAACTGCCCTATTTTTTTGTGGATCAAAACATCGCCTTCTAGCGAAAATTCCGGTGGAATGTTATCGTTGTCGCCTACTGGATTATGGGCTTGGTTGGAAAAATGGTGTTTTAAATTTTTAAATAACTTATCCTCCTCCTGGGATTTGATAATTTTTTTCCATAGATCGGAATTAACAGAGACAACATCACACGCGTGCAGGTCATTAATATGTATAGCCTTTTCAGGCCTCGACAATAAATCGGCTACAAAATTCCTATTACCCTTTATATGGCGTATGTTAAGGTCGTAATCCACTAGCTCAATCGACCAACGCATAAGCCTCTTATTATGGTTCTTCATNTCAAAGTTTTGAAAGAGAGAACAACCACAGGAAAATAAATAGTTTAAAATTGTACGAATTTTATTTCCATGAGAAAGAAAAACATAGGCAAAACTACAACTATTTGCTTCTCTTAAACACCTGTTCGAATGACAGCGATAGACACTGGCGAACCTTTACTTCTCACCACAAACGGAAACAAATACATCATTCTGTTTATAGACCACTTCAGCCGATATGAGGCAGCAGTTCCTTTACCCGATGTTAGTAGTAGTGATGTAACGAATATTCAGTTACTATTCGACCTATTTTTCGCTATTCTACCGAATACCTAAACACAGGAGTAAGAAACAACAAAAACACAGTAAATTAATCATTTTGATATTTAGATTTAATGTTACTCAGTTAGTGTTGTTTGTTTATATTTATTTATAACTTATAACATGCACAAAATAAAAAATAAAATAATATTTGTCACATGTATTCACAATTTACAATTACAAATATCATCACACATACAGTACACACCTATTCGTTCAAGAATCGTCGCACATCCGAGGGTCTGACCCTGCCTATCGTTTTTTAAGCACTCGTCTTTGCTCTTCCCTTTCTCTTTCCTCTATCGCTCTAGTCCACGTATATAACGGGCGGATGGCCGAGTGGGCAAGGTGGCAGCCTACTGTTTTGGGGGACCCGGGTTTGAATCCGAACGGGTCGAAAAATCCCCAGGAATTTTTCGGGGGGTGGTCCGTCCGGGTATGTCGGGCCCCGTCCCTTACCACCCGGCAGCCCCATTGTTGGCCTGGCCGAACCCATAATGGGCTTGCAAAAAGAGGCCCTCTTAGTGCCCACATGGTGGAAAGAGTTATAAAAAAAAGAAATATTACGTAATTCAACGCAAACTCAACGGTTACCTAATACACTTCCACCTTACACCCCATGTGAATTATATTAAGGATAAGGCTCAGTTTTGTAGTTTACAGAGCTTGGCAAGCTGGGGTTGGGGCTGCGGCTTCCTGCACTCCGAGTCTCTGTATATTCCTATAGTAGTATATGTTGCTGGAGTGTGGGACGACAGACTTCAGCCCCTTCACCGTGGGAAACTTGAATCTTCCCAATGGAAAGTGCTGCTGATGGTCACCAGGGCCTATCGTACGATTTCAACTCCTGCTTTGCAATTGATTGCAGGTGAGTTACCAATTGATTTAAGAATTAATTTGGAATATTATAAGTATATGATTAGGGCAAAAATACCTTTTGTTTATGAGGATTTTGTATATCAGCCAGATACATCGGCAGATGCTACTCATGTAATTATAAAAAACTAGCTGTTACCCGTGGCTTTGCCCGCTAGGATTTTGCAATTTGATAGAAATAGCCTTCTCTCCAGTACTTCACTAAGATTCTCAATCATTAGTTGTTGCTAATTTGGTAAAATTACTGATTTTTGTGTTTCAAACTATCGACTGCTAATGCATCTAAATTCAAGTTTCAAATGTTATGGGATCCCGAGATACGATAAATCTGAGTTTAATTTTTTTTTGAAACATAAATGACATTATACGTAAATATATAAAATAAATAAATACTTATGGAAAAATAGAGTTTCAGTTACCCCAGAACCTCTTTGTAAACCACGTTTGCAGTACAGCCTTTCGGGGCTAAGATGACCAGACTATTCGCAGAACTTACTCTAGAACATGCAACATAGAACTGTCCATGAGAAAAACAGTCTTCACTCAAGTCGATGCCAGCCATTTTCAGTGACTGTCCTTGTGATTTATTAATAGTCATGACAAAACACACCTTGAGAGGGAACTGTGTTCTCTTAAATTCGAACAGATATTCTGATGGTGTTAATAGTATTCTTGGGATAAAAACTGTCTCCCCGAGCACATCCAGTGATCACTGTAGCTTCTACAATGTTCTTATGCAAAGCATTTACTTGTAGTCTCGTACCATTGCATAATTTTGGTGGATTAAGATTTCTTAATAACATTACAGATGCTCCGACTTTAAGAATGAGTTTATGTGATGGCAGACCAAGAGGATTCAGAGTATTAAGAAATTCTGTCAGATAGGGGACGGCGTCGTCCGTTTGGATCACTGAATCAAAAGACCTGTATTCAGGATCTTGAGCTTCGAAGGCTTTTAATAGAATATCATTAACTGCGGCTGCTTTATCGTTTCTCGGAGTTAAGATAGCACGTTCGCACAACCATTCTGTGGGCTTCTTTTTTGATGTTACTTATATCAGGATATATTTTAGAAGTTAGCTCTGATAAGGAGGTAACTACTGTATCCAATCTGAAGGGATTGTGATTTTACCTTCCAGTGGAGGGTAATTTCCATCACCTATTTTTAGTAGCACTTCAGCGAAAAGCCCAGCGGATGTATCACCACTTAAATGGACTCTCATATTGTATTGGAGTGCAAGTTTCCGGATATGTGGCCACAAATATGAAGTCTTTAAGCATGCTTTTTCTTCATCTGGCCGTGTACCCCTAGGTATGACGGGTAACGTTTGCCGAAAATCTCCAACTAACAGCACAGTGACCCCTCCCATCAAGCTATTGTTTTCTCTTATGTCTTTTAATGTTCTACTGAGAGCTTCGAATCCGCTCTTATGGGCCATTGTGCATTCATCTCAAACTATTAGTTTACAGTCCTTCAAAACTTGCGCCATGTTACTCTGTTTTGAAATATTACAGATAGGTGTCTCTACTTGCATCAGGTTCAAGGGCAGTTTGAACGCAGAGTGAGCAGTTCTACCTCCTTCCAGCAACGTTGCAGCAATGCCTGAAGAAGCAACAGCCAATGCTCTCTGGCAATCTTTTCGCATTCTAGCCAATAAAAGACTCAGGACAAATGTCTTACTGGTGCCGCCAGGAGTGTCTAAGAAAAATGTTTGACCAGTGCTTTTTTTGATGCTTTCTAAAATTTGGCTATAAACGTGAGACTGTTCATTGTTTAACAAATTTTCATTAGTAGTTACAATCTGTGCTAAAATATTTGAGTCATAGCTCATCTCTTGGAGATAGTCTGTATTTTGTAACACTTCATTACATCTTGATGGCTGAGATAAACCATACTGTTGTAAGCATTGGCCTCCTAAAGACAGCACTGTATCTTCAAGACACACCAAGCATTTATTGTATACTTCATTTAAAATTAGATGAACATCTCTATGTTGTAACTCTAACTCGACTTGGTGCCATATATCTTCCGAAAGGGTATCTTTATATTTCTCCCAAAGATTTGAAGCATCTGGCAATTGACAAAACATCAACATTACTGCAAAAATTTTGCGTAATCTAAACGGAGATTCACATAGCGCAGCTTCTACCATAGTTGCATTCCAGTGCCTATCGTCTTCTAGCAAGCCTAGAACCTTACATGCAGACTGGTATGTGGGTTGAATCGTACCATTAACTGTTTTCAATTCTATGAAAGATGTAGGGTCTCGGATTTCATGTAGTAAAAGGCGAAGATAGTTAGGTAGGATTTTGTTTAGTATTCTTAGAGTGGTATCAGTATTGTTAGGGTGGATGGTATATACCCTGGCTAAAGTCTGATCTTTTTTTACTCCTGGCCAACCATCGACGGTCATTACCACGTTTTCTTCTCTCAAATCTGTTATTTTTCCATACATAGAAAGAGGAAACTTCAACAGAAAGAAGTGTTTTTGCAAAATTATCTGTTTTGCATAAGTCAAAAAATGCTGTAAGCGTAGTTTTTACTAGATTGTTAACAATATTTGTTAACTGATTGGAGTCATTTGGATTAAAATAGACTAGCTGGCCATTTTCCAAATGCACAGTAAGATGAAAAACTGGAGGGAACCTCATGGATGGGTAAAGCCAGAATTCTTCATACAGCGGAGCTGCTGATGTATTGCCCACTTTCATGGAGTTCAACTTCATCCTTTTCATTTTTAAGACCAAATGTTGGCTTATCACTCCCTTTATTGACATATTTACATATGTATTATATAGATTTTACAGAGTTACAGTAATTCACGTTAATATGAGCACCGAACGTACGTGAAAGCACAGGTTTATACGACACTACCCAATTGTTATCAAGGGTCACACCATTGATTTTAGGAATGAAACCGCCATCTCCTGGAGCTCTTCGTCGATACTTTGGGTATCCATCTTCTCCTGTTTGAGTTTTTTGAAGGAGAGGTCGAGGAAACTTCTTAGTGCAGCTACCTTCTTTCATACAGGGTGAAATTTAAATTACCGCAAGGCCCAGGTATCATATTGTCTTTTATAATCTCATGAAGGAGAGGATCTTTCGCAGGGTCTAGTATCTCTGCAGAAATAACACTATCCAATTTATCTAGAGAAATACGTTGCTGTAGCCACAACAAAATGTGTATATGAGGCAAACCACGCTTTTTGCCATTCGACAGAATATATAAAACAACGTACATCTCCAAACAAATTCCCCTTTGTTAGCAATGTCATTAACGCCTTAACTTTTTAGTGAAATATCCTAGCTATATCATGAAGATCATGAGGCTTTTTCCCAGATAATGCATTTTTAATTAATTAATATCATTCCATCGAGGATTACATGTAAATGTAATGAATAAATCAGGACGACCGTAATAGCCAACGTATGTCATGGCGTCCTGAGTCTTTTCATTGTGGTGAGCACGTGGTGGTGATTGAGTTCTCACAAAGAGACAGGAATATAAAACAATAAGACGTGCTTTATTTTACTTTATGAACATATATACAAAAAAGGTTCGTTGATTCCGACCTCCTTGTTCCTCACTTTTATTAAACAAAAGTGAACAAACAACACCGTTTCTTGATTCACAGCGGAGCTAAACTTTTCTTTCGCGTAACAAAGGAGACACTTAATTACTAACTTAAAACTACTTATAACTAAAAGAGGAAAGGAGGAACAAGAATTAGGATAGAATGGGAGAACAAAAATGGAAATTTCTAGTAAGGAATGGGTACCCGAATGGTTGACTGAGGTGGTGGCCACTATGTGATTTCGTCTTGGGATTCTTTTCTTCTATGGGGACGGAGCACATGCGAGGACCCAAAATTCGTCCTTTAGTCTCGGCTTTACCAATGTTCTTTTTCTCTTCCAATGCTACTTCTTTCTTTTGTGTTCTTCGTAACCCTTCCGGCCGAAGCAACACCGAACTCGAGACCGCTCTCTCCGACGGTCTTTCCTCCTACGGTCCAAAGCAAAAAGTGTCCTTATCGTCCCCCACTTGCCCTCTGGGCTACCTTCGCTCCTTTGTCCCGAAATTAGGTCACTGGCCACCCACATTCAGACGAAAGTTCCAGAAAGTATAGAAACAGAACAAAGAGAAAAGGGAATAGAATATTCTTATATATACATATATAAAATAAAAACAACAAAATATACTGGTGTACCACCACATACGTCCTCCCCTTACAAACTATTTACCGTAGTGAAGCTTACGGTAATCCAATCTATGTCCTCGTAAGTTGTACCGTTCAGGTGGTGGAGAGGGGTTTGGATTAACATTACGATTATCGGTGGCATCATGTTCCTCATATTCGCTATGTCGACCACTGTCTTGATTTTCTTGGAGTGTTGCTCTTGGTAATGGCATAATACATCCACATACATCGTCTTCGTCCATACCGTTAGTTGGTTCTTCCTCCCCTTTCCTATCGGGAGGTTTTCTCATCCTTCTTCTCGTACTATTCTTGTACATAGGGAAGTAACATGGTTTTAGTCTATCAACGTGCACAATACAGGTGTTCTTTTCCCGATCGTTGCCGATTTCCATGGTAACAGGACCTAACTTACGTCTTATCCTAAATGGGCCCAAATACTTGGCCGAGAATTTTCCGTGACTCTTATTTCTTCCCTTTCGCAACAGCCATACCCTTTGTCCTACTTTCCAATCAGAATAACCCCTTTTGTTGTTAATACGTTCCCTATTATAATAATTCCGTTTCCTACCTAAGTCATAAGCGGCTTTCCGTATGGTATCTAACCTGTCTTTAAAGGTAGTATCTAGACGTTCCTCCCGGTCATCATCAGATGATTCGTCGGGGAACGCTACAGGGAAGTGAGGGTCAAAACCATACAGCAAAAAGGCTGGGGATTCGTTTGTAGAAGTATGAGTTGCATTGTTGTAAGCGAATAACGCGGGTGACAAAAAGATATCCCAGTTACGGTTATCCCCCTGTGAAATGCGAGCCATAGTGCCAACTATGGTTTTATTGAAGCGCTCACAAATGGAGTTGGCACATGGCCGATAAGCCGTGGTCACATTATGCTTGACTGCTAGTAGATTACAAACGTCCTGGAATGTTTTGGATGTAAAATTACTACCGCGGTCGGAGATTAACATGCTAGGGCAGCCGTATCTACAAATAATATGATTAAATATGGCCTCGGCTACACTTTGCGCCAATTGGTCTTTCATTGGTACGGCTTCAGCAAAACGTGTGTAGACATCAATCATTGAAAAAATATACCGATTTTCGCTCTGTGATCTCTGGAGGGGGCCAATGATATCTATCGCTATTTTCTGGAATGGAAAACTAGCAACTTCAGTCTCCTGAAATGGGGCACGGCCACGATGGAGGTTATATTTCTGGCAGACCTTACAATTACGGATGATGCGTTTTACGTGCGCGCGGAGGTTTTTAACGAAGTAGTATCGATCTATCAGGTTGCAAGTTTTTTCTAAACCAATGTGACCTGACAAGGTGGAACAATGAAATGCCCATATTAACTCCTTGACTACACTCTCTCCCACGCAAACTTGTTTCCATTGACAGAGACCGAACTGCCCTAGTTTTTTGTGAATCAAAACATCGCCTTCTAGCGAAAATTCCGGCGGAATGTTATCGTTGTCGCCTACTGGATTATGGGCTTGGTTGGAAAAATGGTGTTTTAAATTTTTAAATACTTTATCCTCCTCCTGGGATTTGATAATTTTTTCCATAGATCGGAATTAACAGAGACGACATCACACGCGTGCAGGTCATTAATATGTATAGCCTTTTCAGGCCTCGACAATAAATCGGCTACAAAATTCCTATTACCCTTTATATGGCGTATGTTAAGGTCGTAATCCACTAGCTCAATCGACCAACGCATAAGCCTCTTATTATGGTTCTTCATACTCTTTATGAATGAAAGGGGCTTGTGGTCGAAGTGAACTTCAATTTGTTGTCCCAATACGATGGGTCTAAAATGACGGAGAGACAATATGATAGCGAAACATTCCTTTTCCACCGTGGAATAATTCAGTTCTGCCCCGCTAAATTTTCTACTAAAGTAACCCACTGGGGAAAATTCATTTTCAATTAACTGACCTAGCACCGCCCCAGCGCATTTGTCCGATGCGTCCGTGAACAAATGGAAGCGGGAAGAAAAATCGGGATGTCTCAGCAAAGGTGGGTTGGTGAGTAACCTTTTAAAACGATCGAAGCTAGTCTGACAGTCCTCATTCCAACAGAACTTCGCTTTCTTCCTTGTTAATGCCGTCAATGGCAAGGCCACGTCCGAGAAGTTTGGTATAAAACCCCGGAAGAAGCCCACCATTCCTAGGAAGCTACGTACGCCCTTCACATTATGAGGGGGTTTTATTTCGCGGATAGCCTGTACGTTATCTGGATC